TATATATATATATATATATGACCCCTTTAAAAAATTAATTTAATACATAATTTTAGGTAATTATGTATATACATAACATACGTAATAAATTTTTGTATAATTTTCCCCTAAATTATACTTTTATGCACAGAATGTTATTCACTCAACAACAATTATTTTTTATTCATTTTAGGCTGAAATATGAGTCATTTCTTCATGAGATTCACCCTTTTTATCCGTTATCATTAATCCAGGACAGGACAGGAGAGTGACGTGTGTGTGTGTTGCACATGTATGAATCTGAGGCTCCCAAGTGCCTGGAGAGAGAAAGCAAACACATGAACAAACATATAACAGTGTTACTGACTGCTGTAACAAACCAATAACATGTTCACACCACGTTTGGTCTTTAATCATTGGTGTGTTTGTTCATTTACTGACATGAGCGGTTTTAAAATACTTCATTACTCACAGTGACAGTATTACACTGTTCATCTGCTCTTCTGGACCTTCATTTCTGAACTGAAATATTGATACAGTGAATCCAATAAGTATTTGTTCGCTTCAAATGTGTCTTTCAAAACTGCTTTACATTTTAAACTGAACAAACCGGTTTGCGTATCTTTCTTTATAACAAATGACATTTATTTTGCTATTTTCTCATCTCATTTAGTGGCATTCAGACATTTTGAATGTGTTTTAAGACTTCTTAGGGCCGTTGTATTTACTCATAATCATCATCTCAGTCTTTTCTGAACAAACTAAAATCCCTACTAACCTGACAATCGCACAAAGCACAATGATTATCATCCAGATGTCTTTTAAAACGTTGTGACTGGCATTAAATGCATTTTAAACGTTAACCAACATCGCAGACGCCTAATAAAACGCGGAGATTCATTTGAATCGACTCAAAGATTCGATGTTTCGAGTCACGGATGATCTGCTTCTTCATTGGAGTTTCAGTTCTGGAATCTCTGTGTTTGAAAGCAGAATTCATGTTTAATGTAATGTTTCGGTGCAGAATCGCTCGCTGATGGCATTCATTGTGGAGTTCGTTACAAAGTGATTCGTGTTCAAGTGATTCATTCTTGCTGTTTCAACAGAATCGAACAAATCTCACTGAAATGACTCGTTTGGAAGCATCTGGATTCAAGACTGTTGTTTGTAAATTGAAAAGATTTGTGCCAAATGAATGTATATTAAACTAATGACATTATAATCAAGCCTTTTCCGTCATTTATTAATATTTGCTCGATGAGGCGAATTAAATGTGTTTGATGGAGTCCTAATGTCCTCTAGATGGCAGCATGAAGCAGCAGATGAGCTTCTTTGTCTTTTATCTGCTGTTTAAGAAGAATCTCCTTGCATGAAATATGAAATATACTTTCTATGGTTACAAAAAAGCCATTTTCCATAACATACAGCTGATTAAGAACAGGAAAAATGTATAATAGCATGAACTAGCAATGCAAAGATTAACACAACGACATCAAACTATTGTTTTGCACAACAGAAATTGTAATGAATGCACTGCATTTAACTGCAAAATATGACAAGCGTGAGGACTTATATGAAATGCTTTTTTCCTGAGAAAACAGTTCAAGCTCTGTTCATTTCTCCCTTCATGGTATAGTGACTATTGTATGTCCTTGTGATTTAATTGTGTTCACATGATTCCCGACAGATGTTAACATTAATTTTTAGTTTAAAGGACAGAATTTAAAACAAACAGACAAAAGTGTCTTAATAAATTAACAAAAAATGTAAAATAATATACAATTCTTATTATGCGTTAATAATATTTATTATTCATTAATAATAATTATATTATTTTTAATAATACAATGTTTTTAAATTATGTAAAATAATAATAATAATTATTATTATTACTATTATTATTATACATAACCAATTAATATGCATTTGTTGAATATTTAGTGATTGTATGAGGTCACTGATTTGAATGTTTTGTCCTCATCACTGAATCGAGCTCTCACACACATGACCAATAGCACTCGGCCAAGCAGGACTGCTGGTGCTGATGCTGTGGGCGGGGTCATCGGGCGTTGCCATAGGTACCTGGAGCTGTGCCAATACATTTGCATGTATTCAAATTGCTCATGAATAATTTACATCACAGCAGCCTCCCTCCTCATCCGTCACTGCAAACACCAGTTACGAGCGTTACACATGAGACACCATTACTTACAATACAACACTCTCTCATGTATTACACAGAAGATCCTCGATGTATTCAAATTGCTCATGAATAATTTACATCACAGCAGCCTCCTTCCTCATCCGTCACTGCAAACACCAGTTACGAGCGTTACACACGAGACACCATTACTTACAATACAACACTCTCTCATGTATTACACAGAAGATCCTCGTTTTATGCTGTAATCAGCCAAATAATATATAGATATTAAGATAGTTTATCATTACTGCTATTAATTTCTTTCATTTGGCATGCAATAAAAAACAATAGGGCTAAATGTAGAATTTTTATAAGAACTTGGTGTTTATTGCATGCACTGTATTTGGTTTATTGGCTCACTGTACTTCACAGGAAATGATGTCACAGTTGTGGAAACAGCTGAATGGAGGATGTCAGAAAGGGGCGTGTCCACAATGGAATGTAAATAATCTTAATTTTTTATTTAAAGGGCCAGTGGCTCAGAATCTTCCACACATGCACACCAGCAGATTGATTTGGAAATCACACAAAGCACAAAAACGTCTGATCAATATTAAAATATTAATTAATTTTTTAAATTTAATATTAAGACATATTCTAATATTCAGATGTATGTGTTTGATATTCGAATACTACACGATACTTTTATTCAAAAAAGCTGAAAGAGAATTCCCTGTTCAAAGACAATTATGAAAGAAAACTGTTTTTTTCAATAACCTTGTGTAACTACTAAAACATAACAAATGTTTAATTTGTGATTTTTATATATTTTTATTCGAAAGCAATAAGAACAAAGTTGGTCAGCTCTTTTCTCTTTTGTATCAATATCTGACCTTTCCAAATCAACACTCATCATAACATTCATATCGCAATTGTGAAACTTTATATTAGTGCTGTCAAATATTAATCGCGAATAATCGCATCCAAAATAAAAACATTTGTTTGCATAATATATGCGTGTGTTCTGTGTATATTTATGTATATATAAATACACATGTATATATTTCAGAAAAAAACGTTATGTTTATATATTATATTTATTTATAATATGTACTGTGTATATTTATTATGTATATATAAATACACACACATGCATGTATATATTTCAGAAAAATTTTGTTTATATATTAAATATATTTATTTATAATATAAATTATATGAATATAAATATAGTCATGTAAATACATGTAAATATTTTCAGAATATATACTGTATGTATGTGTATTTATATAATAAATATACACAGAACACACACATATATTATGCAAACAAAAACATTTATTTTGGATGTGATTAATCGCGATTAATCGTTTGACAGCACTACTTTATATATATTAGTAGTTGACTCGTTTACTCTGCTCTTAAAGTTATTTCTATTATTTCTACTCATTAATCCATGCATTATTTATGTCAGTGTATATAGAATATGTCTTCATGTCTTGGCTGTTAGTGAATGAATGATTAAGGTATTAGACACTCTGATCTCACACTTATAAATGACTGAATGCCTTTGCATTGCATGCAGAATATGCATGCACGAACACACTTTACAATCAAATGCCTAAAACCTACTTATATAATGGCATAAACCACAATATCAAATACTCACACCAGACAGTGTCATATATGATACGTAGAAGCTTTATTGAAAATCATCACACATTCAGTATTACTCAAGTACACAATGATGAATTACAGCTTTACTGATACGCAGATGCTCATTGCAGTATTAATGATTGAATCAGGTGAATGAAGCGTTTCTGAGGGTCATTGCATTAGTGAATCTAAATTACAGGCCCAAGTGTTATTAAAATATTCATTTACAGATTTTGTAATACATCCAGAGAGCTTGAGGTGAATGTGTGTGTGTGTGTGTTTCTTTGTGTGTGTGTGTGTGTGTGTGTGTGTGTGTG